CTGATCGTCGCGCGCGCATGCATGCCAGAAACGCAGAAGACCGGGCAACACCGTTGCGTGCCAGGTGACATGGTTCGGCATCCCACTTCGGGCACACGTGCCATCACGGGACTAGGTGATGGTTTGGATAAGGTTCTGTGATGGGTTTTGTGTTTCAACACATGCATGTGAAGCAAGTGTCACCTGTCCTGTCCTTGCTGTTTTATTGATGTCACCTTGTTTCTCCTCCATGTACCTTCAGCATGAGAGACAACACATCCGAAGAGTAAGCAAAAGACTTCTCTATCGCTGGATTTAATTTTTTCCTCCTCCTCCTCCTCCTCCTCCTCCTCCTCCTCCTGGAATGAACTCCCCGCAGGGATTCGGACCCTCACCTCTCTCCAGGCCTTCCGAAAAGCCGTCAAAACCTGGCTTTGCCGGCAGGCCTGGGGGGTGATGATCTCCCTCTCCTCTCAACTTGTATGGTTGTGTGACTCTTGCTTATTTTAATTATCTGTAGTTCGTTTTATGTTCCCCTTTTCCCCCTTTTGAATTGTTCGCCGCCCTGAGTCCTCCCGGAGAAGGGCGGCATACAAATAATAAAATTCTATTCTATTCTATTCATCTCCCGCTTCTTCTTCCCAGATGAAAACAGTGCTGGTAGAATAGGGCTGGTTTCCTTCCTCCCCCACCCCTTTCCTAAACCCCACTTTTTATTGTGCTCTGGAGTCCCGTAAGGCTGCCTGGTTCTGGTTTTATAATTCTAATGGTCTGAGATGAAACATTAAAAAAAAAAAGAAAGAAAGAATTCTGGATACGACCCAGATTTGAGAGACGCCTGTCATCTTAAATTCTGAAGGGAAAAAACCCCAAAAGAAATTCAACTTAACATTCCTGTTGATTGTGTGGTCCACTTATTAGTAATAAAACTCTTATGGAGAACCTCTGCCTTAGAAAGGACTCGGACCTCGGACCTTCTCAGAAGACCATGGATGGTAAAGATGTGATGACACCCAGCTCTATTCTTGCAAGTTTTTGCTGGTGGTTTCATCTCCTACCAGCCTTTCCTTACTGTTGTGATGTCCCTCTTGCTCAGGGGTGGGTTTCTCGCCCCGTTCCAACCGGTTCGGTTGGAACGGGGCCGGCGGCGTCCTCATGCACGCGCGCGGTGCACGCATGCGTACTAACATCTGCGCGATGCTCCAGCTGCTCCTGGACGATCGCGCAGGTGCTGTATGCATCCTGCGCATGCGTGAAAGCGCAGAACTCGTCAAAACCGGGTAAGGACCACGGGCGGGCGGGCGGGCGCGCCCTTTGCCATTCCCGGAAGTTACTTACTTCCGGGTTCGGCGACCAACTGGTTCGCAGGGACCGCCGCGAACCGGTTGAAACCCACCCCTGCTCTTGCTGGCCCTTCCTGTCCTATGGTTCCCATGAACTTTCTGAGCCGCAGAAGTTCGTCTCACCTTAACCACCTTGCAAATCTCCCCTGTAGGCTTTCATTGGTAGAATCTTGTGTCCCCCCCAAGCACTATCTGCCTAGCTTCCTAGAATCGCGTTCCTTTGTATGTTTTGACCATTTAACTTGATTTGAGCGTGTTAGGCATGACTTTACCAGGCATCTCAGCTTCGTAGCTGTCTCCATAGCCCACTCCCCATGAGGATTTGCTACATCAGGTGGGGAACAATCTACTACACGGGCAGTCCTCGAGCTAAGGCTGTAACAGAACTCAGAATTTCCTTTGTGAGTCGTGATGTAGAGCGGGCGTATCGAACTCGATTTCATTGAGGGCTGCATCGGGGTTGCGTTTGACCTTGGGTGGGGGAGGGGGGCTGTGGCCAGGGTGGGCATGGCCAGCTCTCTCCCAAACCACAAAGCAGGCGGTTGAACCAGAAGGCCTCCCAGGTCCCTTCCGACTCATTGCTATTCTGTTAAATCTATTTCTGACCGAATGTCCTCCAGTGTTATCGGCCCGCTCATCATCCGTCGATACCTGTAACCGAAGCCTTTGGCTCCGTGCAAATAAAACAAAAGCATCCGACGATCATGATTGTGTGTGTTTTGCACTCGTAAACAGGTGTGTAATTTTTTTTTTTTTAAAAAAAGCTGAGCCGGAGTACAACGATCGCAATCCTGAACGGCATCTCTTGCTTTCTACGTTTTTCTTAAGATCCTCAAGGTAGCATCCCCTTCCTGCCATCTCGTGTTCTGATCGCTCTACGCTCTCATGGCTTGCTGCTCTTGGATCTGATGACCCTCATCCTTTCTCGTGGTCCTTATGAACTTGGGCAGATTCCCCCCCCCCCACTTGCCACTGCTTCTGTCCCGTGCCCTCTTCTGGCTTCCTCCTGCCACGTTCGGCTGGGTTTTTTGTGGCCCAAAATGCCTTGCGTTGAAAGAAGTCAACCAACCCAAGAGACAGAGCCATTGTGTCTCCTGCGACATCCTCCACCTCAACCACCACCCAGTCATTAACATCCTTCTCTTCCTGTACCAAACTGTCCCAGCTCCTGCTGTTTGCGGTAGAGTTAATGTTTACACTCTTCTTGGCTCCTCCGAGGGCCGTTTCCTTCCACTTTGGGCAGGGAGAGAGATAGAGAGATAGAGAGAGATAAGCATCTTTCTGATCTTTCTAAGGTTTCTCCCATCCCTCCATCGGTCCCTCCATCCACCCATCCCTCAAGGGAGGAGGCGGCATCAATCGATCCAGCACTGAAAAGACTCCATTGTTTTCACAAATATTCCATCTACCATCTAACCAGTTGCTCTGAGTTTCGCCCGGGAGAGTTGGCCAAGATTGCTTTTAGCAGCTGGTGTCCTACGCAAATCATAAAGTTGACTTCACTCCCCCCCACCCCCACCCCAAACTGCATGGGTAAATACAGGTAGTCCTCGATTTATGACCGCAATTGAGCCTCCCCCCCCCCCATTTTTTGGTTAAGTCAGACATTCGTTAAGGGAGTTCTACCACTCCTTGCCAAATTTTGCAGATGTCGGCCAGGCAGCTCTCCAAGCCAGATAAGGTCTGTGACTGTAAATCCTCCAAAGCCAGATAAGGTCTGTGACTGTAAATCCTCCCAAGCCAGATAAGGTCTGTGACTGTAAATCCTCCCAAGCCAGATAAGGTCTGTGACTGTAAATCCTCCCAAGCCAGATAAGGTCTGTGACTGTAAATCCTCCCAAGCCAGATAAGGTCCGTGACTATAAATCCTCCCAAGCCAGATAAGGTCTGTGACTGTAAATCCTCCCAAGCCAGATAAGGTCTGTGACTGTAAATCCTCCCAAGCCAGATAAGGTCTGTGACTGTAAATCCTCCCTTGAAAGACTTTGCTAGATGTGAATGAGCAGAATTCACAGTCAATTAATAAAAGGGGCTTTTTTTGTCGGGACCAGGGGTTTGCTTCATGCTCCTCAGACCGAACACATTCCTAGAGAATTTCGGACAAGCAAAATCAATGGGGGAAAAGACAGATTCGCTTCCCGGCCATGCTATTGATTTAACTGCAATGATTCGCTTAATGACCGCAGCACAATGGGTTATAACCTGGGGCGTGACTCGCTTAACATCTGCCTTGCTCAGCAACAGGAATTTGGGGCTCAATTGTGAGTCAAGGCCTATTTTCAGCAAGGTTAATAATAAGAAACAAAGTTGGCGAAAGCTTTGTTTTACTGAACATCTAGCAGTACTACAAAATTCTCTTTTTCAGTACCATTTGTGAAATTAAAATTCATTGCTACAAGGTAATAATAAAATAACTTTTTTTTGTTATGGTCTTAAATTGGCCTAATACCAATAGACTAAATTCCCTTAACATTTTCTCATATAAATATACAGTTAAACTTCACAATAACCAAAGTTATCTGGCATAATCATATTGTAATAACTTGGTGAAGAAGCACATATACCCTCTGAATTGCACGATTCCCAAACTGGCTTGAGAGAGCGCCGTTGCGATAAACAATCCAATGAATTTGGATTATTTTGCCTTCTTACTTGGCCTCCACAGACAGTCCTTGACTTACAAAAATTCACTTCGTGGCCGCTCGACATTAAAGGGGCCCTGAACAAAAGTGACTTATGGCCACTTTTCACACTGATGTCCATTTGCCACATTCCCGCGTTCACGTGATTCACATTCATTTGTTTGGCAACCGATTCATATTTATGACGATTGCAGTGTCCAAGGCGTCACCTGATCCCCTTTTGCAACCTTCTGACAAGCAGAGTCGACGGGAGAGCTAGATTCACTTAACAACCGCGTGACTAATTTAACGACTGCAGAGGTGCACTTAACAAAGGGGGCGAGAAAGCTTGACTTTAACGAATTCCTCACTTAGCAACCTAAATTTGGGGCATTCGTTTTTGGTCGTAAGTCAAGGACTGCCTGCATTTCTTCCTTTGCACCTAGTAGCTTTTTTTCAGGCACGCCCAGCAGGTGCCCATTGCTGATCTGAGTTCCGGAAGTTTAAACCTGGTACCATCTAGCCTCCCCAGCTGGGGTTTCAAATGATCTTCATCCTTAGGTAATGCAGACGTTTCATTACCCAACTAGATTACAACATCAGTGCAGTAGTAAGGAGCACAGTTTGCTGTCAGTTTATGCTCTGGTGACTTGCCCTGTCTGTGTTGCTCAGGGTGATCTTAGAGATTCTTCAGTTGATTCTCTTAAGATTCTCTAAAACCACCCCCAACCAACACTGACGGGGCCAGTCACAAAAATATAAACCGACAGCCAAAACTGCACTCCTTACCACTGCACTGATGACGTTACCAGGTTTGGATAACGAAACGTCTTCAAGAAAAGCAGCACGCCCAGAGAGCACCCAGGATCCCTCATCTCAACCCCGAGTTACAAATATTCCCCTTTATTTATCTCTAATGTACGTCGTCCATGTTATTTATTCGTAAGTCACATATCCAACATATAGTGCCAGAGTAATAGAAGCTGTAATAGAGACTTTGCCAATTTCCTGGCTGTGACAAATGAAGCAAAAAAATATTATATCTGTAATCCAGGTGTACGTTTATAATATTTTATATTTCATATTTTTATCTCTTGTGTTTTTTTCTTGTGGGAATGTGATGTGGATGCTCCATATGATAAATATATAATAAGTTGTCTTCCAGTAATTATTCTTTTCCATTCCATGGAGAACGTTTTCTGGACTTAGCTGTTTTAAGCCAAAGAGAGGCTAAAAGTTATCAAAGATGGGAGCTGTCATTGGAATTCCTGGAAAAAACCTCAGAATGGCTTCAGACATCCATTTCTGCCATGGATGTTTCTCACTTCAGTTGGTTTCGGACTACATTTTACTATGAACTCACATCACGCTCTCAAACCGTAACTTACCCCTCTTTAAAGAGTCATTAAAGTTCAAACTTGGCTGAAGAGGATAAGTTTGAAAAGACCGAGAAGTTGTTCATTGGAAGACGTGAGCCAACAGCGAAGGAAGTTCTCCAAAGTTCTTGATTGAACTCCTAGAAGGTGGGAATGGTGGTGAAGATTCAGATGATGGCATGTATGTCCAGATGAGGCCCTGGGGGATCAGAGGAAGGGCCAGATGTGGCGATAGGACCCAGATGTGGATGGAGTGGACATGAGAGTGAGGAATGTGAATTCTGATAAAGCATTTTCTCTTGTCTTCATTTCTTTGCCTTGGAAATTACGAGCTTTGCTCCTCTCCCCCCTCTCTCTCTCACTGAGGAAGGAGAGGGGGGTCGTGGAGCTGGCTCAGATAAAACTGTTTGTTCTTTTATTCCGCTCTGCAATAGGAAGGGGGGGGGGCTTAAAACCACTAGCCAGAATATTAGGAACAAGAATAGCTCACTTATAAGAAAAACCTCAAAACCCACATAGCTGGCACGCTTTGCAAGATACTTGTGACCTGGGGTGAAAAACAGGTGACGTGACATTTAGCTATTTAACATAACAAGTCTTAGGGTTTTGGGGAGGGCTGAAATCCATATAACCGGTCAATATTATCCGTTATGCATGCATTACTAGGGGAAGGACAAAGGGTTCAATGCAACCACCCCTTTATAAAAACTGCCGTAAGATCCTAATCTTGGCCCCTTTGGTTAGCTTTTCAAAACCGAGATCCTTAGATCTTGGTACCCAAATAAAAAGTATAATTCTGTATCACACCTTGCGTCCGGTGACTTATCGGCTTCGACCCCAAGCAAGAGCCCAGTTTTTGGGGACAACAGTGGAGTTGAGCGAAAGGGAGCTTTCGTTTCTTCTTGAACCCATCCGCGCTCTTCTCGGCCGGGGTCCTCTGTGCGAAGCGAGCCCCGTTCAGTCAAAACAGTCCCCAGCGAGGGAGGATTTGGGATTCCACGCTCGGAGATTGGCTCCCTCCAGTGTCTCTTCTCTCCACCCTCCAAAACAAACTCGGCCCAAGCAATTCTGCCTTACAGGAAACATCTGCTGGATGGGAGGGACGGTGCTGGGTTACTCCAGGGCATTGGCCCACTGAATCACCCAGAGGCTGAAATGTAAAGCATGTGCGAAACATTGCCGTTGTCTTTTCCCCACCCCTTCTTCTACAAGGAGTAGGGGAGAAAAAAACACAAATAAGCCAAGAGCAGAGAGGAGAGGAAGCCAAGAGCAAAACTGCTTCTTCGGAGAAGAGAACGAAACAAGGAAAGTCCCCTTGTGCGCGTTCAGAAATTACCCTCGTGCTCATCCTGGATTCAGAGGGAAGATCTCAAACCAGAAGGAATACTTGCTGCTCCTCCAGAGTTAAGTCCCAGACTTGGGAAGATTCTGCAAGATTGATTTTTTTTTTTGGATCAACATCTTGAAGTGCAGTTTGCTCGTGACGGGACTTCTTCGTTGGTGCTTTCTTGCCACGGTTTAGGATTGCGAAGATCTGACGCCCGTTCAGTCTCTGGAAATAGATGCAGGATCCTCTTCAGAGTGTACAGCTTGATCCCAGACACAACTTTTTTTTTTCCCTCCAGAGAGCACAACTCTCTGTGCAAAAAGGCACAATGTTTGCCTCCAGCTGGAGGCACCTTTTGTGAAGCGCGGTGAAACACGGGAGCTGCGGCCGGACTCGAGGTGGAACGAACTTGGTCGTCTTAGATTGTCCTGGAGAGGTGAATTGCTTTTCCTACCCCCTTGGAGTCTCCCCCCCCAAAAACCCCACATATGAGTGGGTGGGGGAACATAGGCTAGTGCCCTCAAGCAAGTGCCCACTGTGGTTTCTTATTTTGGTGACAGTTGTTGTGCAAAGTGAAGGACGTTGGTCCTGTGTGCCCGGTGAAGAGTGAAGAACGGAAGACGCTCTCGCCACTATGGAGGTTCTCTCAGAATGTGGAGTTCTCTGGAGCCTTCTCTTAGAACTGGAGGATCCGTGTCTGCTGCGTCACTTGAAATGGCTCTGCGATTTTCCCGAAGATTGTCGTGATTCAGCCTGGGAAGAAATCCCATCTGTGAGTGGTGTCCTGTCCGAATAGACCTCCTAAAGATGCTCTCCTGTTTCTTGCTTAGAAGCAGCTTGTTGTTGATAGGCCGAAGTTTTTGCCAGTTTCAATCCTGTGCTATCGCTTAGTGCTTTACTCTCGGTTAAGGTGAAGGGAGAAATGATGATGATAATGATGATGTGACTCTCGAAACAAAGATTTTCTTTTAATAAAAACGTTCAATAATTGTTTGGTGCAGATAGTAGCTTCTTCACTATTCCGTGTTAAAGCATCGATAGTTGGGATGGAATGGGTGATCTTTTGGCTTGACATTTTCTTTTCTTTTCTTTCTTTCTTTCTTTCTTTCTTTCTTTCTTTCTTTCTTTCTTTCTTTCTTTCTATCATCTGTTTGTCTACATATCAACTTCTTTTTCTTGCTTACTTCAAATCTCTCCTTCTTTCTCTCTCCCTCTTCCTCCATCTCTCTTTCCTTCTCCCGCCCTCTCTCCCTCCATCTCCTCTATCCTTCTTTCTCTCTCCTGTTTCCTCCCTCCCTCCCACTCTCTCCTATTCTTTCCTTCTCTCTTCCTCCCTCCCTCTCCTCTCTCTCTCCCTCTTTTTCCTTCTCCCTCTCTCCCTCCCTCTCCTCTATCCTTCTTTCTCTGTCCTTCTCTTTCCTCCCTCCCTCCCACTCTTTCCTTCTCTCTCCCTCCCTCTCCTCCTCTCTCTCTCTCCCTCTCTTTCCTTCTCCCTCTCTCCCTCCCTCTCCTCTATTCTTCTTTCTCTCCCCTTCTCTTTCCTCTCTCCCTCTCCCTCTCTCCCTCCCTCCATAGAGTTAAGCGCATCTTAGGGGAAACTTTGTACACAAGAGGCTAGAGAATTTCCCCCAGTTTGTCACTCTGATCTTCCTTAGATCCTTTCCTTCTAACAAGCCTTCCACTCTTCCCAGGTGTTGAGTCCAACCTATAAACAACGGAATGAAGACTTCAGGAAACTTTTCAAGCAGCTTCCCGAAACGGAGCGCCTCATTGTTGGTAAGACAATCCTCCTTTCATTTCCAGGCCTGTGAGAAGGCAAAGGTTCTCCAGGATCACAAAAGCCAGCCCCATCGGTTGAGGCTGGAGGAAAACTTGTTCTTTGCCCAGGAAGAAAATCCCTCCATCTCACCCTCTCTCATGTAGGGGTATTCAAGGTATCAAGCAATTTGGTCGTCCTTTTCGATTCAGTGCATCAAAGGGCCTTAGCGACACTTTTTTTCCAAATGGCAGCTGGATTTTCTTGGGGTTTTTCCTTGAAAACGTTTCACTTCTCATCCAAGAAACCAGTTCTGAAGAAGCTTCTTGAAAAGAGAAGTGAAACATTTTCAAGAGGGGAAGGGAAGCACCAGAAACTCCAGCTGCCTTTTGAAAAAGACCTTTGAAATAACCATGACCTGGATCAGGNGGCTGGCCGATGGAATGCGGAGGAGGCCTAATCTATGAGATCTTATAGATCTCATAGATTAGAATAGAATAGAATAACTATACTAATAATAGCACCTAGACTTATATATTGCTTTATAGTGCTTTACTGCACTCTCCATGAGGTTTACAGGGTCAACATATTGCCCCCAACAATCTGGGTTCTCATTTTACTGACCTCTGAAGGATGGAAGGCTGAGTCAACCTTGAGCCGATCAGCATCAAACTCCTGTAAGCTGAGGATGATCTTCTGTCAGACATTGGGATGCATGTACGGAAGGGCAAAATTTGAGTCTTGACATCCCCAAGCCTATCCCAACATTTTGACATACCGGTAATCTCAATTTGGTGCATACCTGTGATCTCATCTTCTCATACCCTTAGCTTCCCTCCGTTCCTTCATAATCCAATACTTAATTTCATGAATTTCTGGAGACATAATTAAGGAAGAAACGACAGTTGACAGTTGATTTCAGCAAATTTTAGTACTGGGTTGGTGCTTGGACTGACTATTTTATATTCAACAGTACGAAACTGAATTTCTCTTGATCACAATTTGGTCATTTCCCAAGACAGTTTGTGCAACTTGTGCCATGGCAATTCACCAAGTCATGTGGTATGACAGATTATATTTCAACAACCGTAAGCTTACGAAACCTCCACAATACAGAAAAACTACACACCACTATTCAGCTGCTTCTGCAATTATACATCTTTCTACTGAGCCATGGTGGCGCAGTGGTTAGAATGCATTATTGCAGGCTGACTCTGTTCACTGCCAGGAGTTCTGATTGGTTCAAGGTTGACTCAGCCTTCCATCCTTCCGAGGTCAGTAAAATGAGCACCCAGATTGTTGGGGGCAGTATGTTGACCCTGTAAAGCACTTGGAGAGTGCAGTAAAGCACTATGAAGCTAACAAAAATCGAAAGTTACTGGAGTAGAAAGACTTAAAATGTGCTTAAACTGAGATTCGAGGTTTTTCATTCTGGTTGCCCCTGCTATGTCCATCCATAGCAGGGGCAAGTGATAAATATATATAATAATCAATAGCAAAGCAACACAAACATTTCCTCTTATGGACATATATGTGAAGATGCAACACAAGTACTTGCTTTCTGATATCCTTTTGGCATCAGTGCGGCTAGCTGAAGACACCTGTGCAAGCCAGATCTTGAAACTTTAAGCCACGAGAATAAAAGAATCAATAAGCCGGAGTCTAGACGCGTGTAAATCTAAACCTGTCTGTCCCATCACTTTCTGGTTACTTTAAATAGCCCCATTAGCAGGGAGACTTAAGTAGAAGCAATTGAATAGCACATATTCATGCAAATGCCCTAATTATTTTACAGTTCAATAATGAGTTTAAATAAATTAGACACATTAATAATGTAAAACTGCCTGAAAGATAACACGAGATAGGTGCATTTTTTTTCTGTTGATAATTTATTACAGCACTGTGTGATTCCGAGACAATCCAGACCCCCTTATTGGCCAGTGGTATTTAATTTTTACTCATCCTTAGCCGAATCCTAAACAGAAGTCTGACATCTCATCCGAAATGAGAAATGAAATGGTAGGGGAGGGTGGAAAAAAAGCTTTCCTTTTCAAAAAACAAAAACAAAAACCGAATGTTTCCCCAATTTCCACCAAAAAGGCAACACACTTCATTCTTCTTACAGGTGATGAGCATACAAGTCCAAGGTCAACCTTTAATTTGTGCAACCTGAACTGGAATTCCCCTGAGCTATTTTACCCCTGAGTTAGCGCCCTGTACTTCTGTGCTATGCAAAACCATGTTTTATGAATTTGGCAGGCAAGCTCTTCTGTCTATCAGAATAATTTACAGATGGTGTCTATGTGACACAACATATTTATTGTGCAATATTCCCAGGCTATGTAATTTTCCCTATGGTTAACATTGCCTCGGCTTTTGGGAAAAGGTAGATGAAATTAGTTACACTTCTGAAATTCTTCATTCACAAAACAGCTTCTTGAGGAAAGGGGGGGAATCTAACAGGCTAAGTAGCAATAAGAAACACCATATTTTTTGAACTGCAAGTCAAAATATACTGGATTGGATCGTTGATTGTAGGTTCTATTTTTGAACTTCCATACGGTTAGTGTTCTTTGCTCATCTACAATTTCTATAGACAATATTTTCTTCCTTTTTATCCTTGAACCATCTCATAGCACACTGATGGTGAACGTATGGCATGCGTGCCACAGGTGGCACGCAGGGCCATATCAACAGGCATGTGAGCCGTTGCCCTAGCTCGGCTCCAGTGTGCATGCGCACACTGGCCAGCTGATTTTCAGCTGGCCCGACCACGCTGCCCTTCCCTTCCCAGGAGTCTCCACGTGATGCCAGGTAAGTGCAGGGGTCGCGCAGAGGCTCTGGGAGGGCATTTTCAGCCTCCAAAGGGTCTACGGGAGGCAGGGGAGGCCATTTTCACCTCCCCAGGCTCCAAAAAGGCTGTGTGCACATGTGGGGGCAGCTGGGGGTGGTCACATGCACATGTGCAGGGGGCATGACATGGGGGGGCTG